TGCTGTTTATTATTTTAAGTAATAAAATTATACTCAGTCATTAGATCGTACTACTCAAGTCTCTTCCCTTTACTGGTGGTTCTTATTATCTTATTGAAGTTATAGCTTTTATACTAACACACCTCAAGGAGAAACTACTCACTGATCATCTGAAAGGAAACTACAAGTCAAGTGATTTTGATTGGGTCATTACTGTTCCTGCTATATGGAAAGCAAGAGCAAGAAGAATGATGAGAGAAGCTGCTTATATGGTAACCTAATACATGCTTTGTATTTCATTATGTTAATATGATAGGCTGGTCTCACTTCTGATGCTCCTGGTATAACAAGGTTCACTCCAGTTGGTTCCCCTTTACCACGTCCAGAGGAGGTTAATCCTCAGAAGCTATCATTAGCTCTAGAACCAGAAGTAGCTGCTATAGCTGCACAGCATCAGTCAGCAGTATCAGGAACACCTCCACAGAGATATATGGTAGTTGATATAGGAGGAGGTACAGTTGATATTACTGTACATGATAAGAGTAATGGGAGAATTAGTGTAGTACTACCACCAATGGGGAACACCTGGGGAGGAACAACTATCAATGAAGCATTGTCAGAAAAATTACAAGAAGCAGTAGATGATAAAGATTTCAAGGTTTTATTAGAATCTGATCCCATTAGTGCCAAAGCTACACTAAATAGGATATTTTATGAAAAGTTTGAAGAGCAAAAAAAAATATTTGGAAATGCGACACAAGGTCCCAGAAGAGTAGCATTTTCCTTGCCAAGGGCTTTTACCAGGCACTATGGTAATAATATCCCTGAAAAATCAAAGAAAGTGAATATGCATTATAATCCAGAAAATGATTCATTAACCATAGAACACAACCTATTGGAGGAGGTATTCCAATTCACAATAAATAAAATCCTTGTGTGTGTGAGGGCAGCATTTGATGAGCTAACAGATCATATTGATACAGTTTATCTGGTAGGAGGGTTTGGAGGGTGTAGGTTTGTTAGTCAAAAGATAGAAGAAGCTATTGCTCAGCATCGTGGCATGCTTTATGATAATATAGTGTGTCCTGTACAACCAGATCTTGCTGTTGTAAAAGGAGCAGTAATGTGGAGGAAAGATCCTAACATAATCCAATCACGTGTTGCTGATGCTACCTATGGGGTAGGTGTTGCTCCTGTATTCAAACCGTCAATACACGATGAACATTACAAGTATGTAGATGAAGATGGTGTACTACGTTGTGGCAAAGTATTTGAAATATTTGTACTTAAAGGAGAAGAGATAAAGGATGAAGTATATAAAGCTGCTTTTTTCCCTCGTTATCAATGGCACACACAAACAAATATCTCTATATACTGTACAGCAGATGATGGAGTTCAGTATTTAGTAGATAAAGAAGGTGAACTAACAGTACGTGAGATTGGCCAGCTAATACTTGATCTTCCTAATCCTGATAATGTACCAAGAAAAGAGAGAAAATATGACGTATTCATGGATTTCAGTGGTACAGAGATACAAGCAAGAGCTCAGTATAGTATCACTGGAGAAGAAGTGAAAACAG